AAGTCGCTGGCAGTCTCTGCACATGTGATCAATGGTGGAAAGTCTTAGAGGATTGTTGGATGGGGGAGATGGCGGTGCCTCTCCAGCACTGGGGAGAGGAGCTGCTTGTGTCCAGCCTCGCTTCTGCTCCTGGTCCCCTGAGAGGCTCCGTCTCCTTCCCTTCATTCAAGTAGGCACCCCAGCAGAAAGACAACACAGCCGGCAGGGTGGAAGGAAATTGGAGTTGAGAGCAAGGACCTCTCCATGGCCCTGCACATCTTGGCCCCTGAGCTCGAGGGCCTTGCTCTGTCCTTTCCTGCCATTGCACGGAGGACCCATTGTGCCGATCCAGAGGGCACGAGGGGCCCAGCAGCTGGGCATATGTTAGCTTTAGCACAGGACTAACGGAAGAGAGGGGTCCTCTGAAATCCTACCCCCTCACTCCAACCCTCACTGCTTGCAGGGAAACATCCTGTGTATTAAAGACACTCATAACAATGTAACCTACAGACTGAAATATCTCAGGCTATGCTGCAAGGAACACCACCTTTCTGTTCTTGGAAGAATCCGAAAAGAACTTGCCCCAGAATTTTGTATACTTTTACTTTTTTTTACCCACGGTCTTCTTTCTTCTGTCTGCTGACCCCGTTCCTTGGCTAACGTTTTCAGTTCTAGGTTCTGCATTATTCCGTGTTCCTGGCAGTGCTTCCTGCTGTCTAAGGAGGGACTGGTCAGCCAGGCTCTAACCCCACACCCCTCCCTCCCACCCCAACTGTGCTGCCTGGTGCCATCAGCTTGAGAGGCTGCCCTCTCCCCTTGATTTTCCTTATTGCTGTATCTCAGCTGGGGCCCCATAACAAAATACCACAGACTAGGTGGTTGAAACAACAGAAATTTCTTTGCTTACAATTCTGGAGGCTGGAAAGTCCCAGATCAAGGTCCAGCAGTGTTCCGTTTCTGGAGAGGACTCTCTTCTGCCTTCGCACTCCATCCCCATGTGGCAGGGGGAGAGAGAGCTGGCACCTGCTACCTTTCTCTTGTCTCTAATCCCATAATCTCATGAGGGCCTCACCCTCATGACCGAATTACCTTCCCACATCCGCACTTCCAAACACCACCACACTGGGGTTGGGGCTTCAACATATGAATTTGAGGTGGGGGCAGGGAACAAATGTTGTGTCCCAGCTGCCAAATAACACTTTGCAACTTATCATTTTAAAATTATCCATAACACTCCATAGACTATCATTTAAAAATTGGGGTGGGGTTGAAGCACCATTATCCTTTTATAATGTCATTTTCCACCCCGCCATTAAACAGGCAACTTTCTGGGAACTTCTAATGAAACACGGGAAACACACCTGAAATAGGGTGATTCTAGGTTAAGAGAAGTAACAGTGTGTCCTGAAAAGCCACGGAGACCCACTGCCCGTGTTGAGCTGCCCTCCCTCCCTCCCCAGTTAATCTGCTTCAACTTCTAGTCTGATTAAAGACAGCCAGCAGCTCCAATATATTAAGAAAGAATGGCTTTCCTTTTCTTGTATTCCAGAACAAATGAAAGAATTTTCTAAATGAGAATCTTCTGAAGTCCTTAGTCTTTAGAGAGAAATGTGGGCAAACCATCTCATACTCTTCTTTGGGAATTTGTCCTTGCCTGTGATTTTCTTCTATTCAGTAGAATGGTTGTGGGTTTCTATATTCCCATTTATAAAATACATTTCCATGAGTGGGGATAATGTCTTATTTTGAGCTTGGTATTTTTCTTGTGTTAGGAAGAATGATGTGGTTTTACTCCAGTCCCTTAGTTTGTGATTTGTGGCTTGGAATCCCAGTTGGAAGGAAATGATTGACCAGGAAGCCCGCTTTTTGTGAGGTTTAGAGACACGGTCAAGTATTACAGCCTCAGGCCTGATTAAGAAGGCAAAGTCTGAACAGGCTGCCTTGTGAGGTAGTGAGCTCCCCAGTCATGGGACTCTGCAGTCAATCAGAAGCATCCACTGCGGTCACTCGCAATGGATATTGTATTTGTGGTTCTTGAATTAACTGGGAGTTTGGAATGCAATGATCCCAGAGACTGTCCATTCTGAAGTGCCATGTTTCCGTGACTCCACACACGGAGCTACACACACAGAGGCTACGTGAGCCCTAGAAGCTTTGCACAGAGGAAGACTGTCTTCCACAAAGGAAATGACATCAACAGAGTGACTAAGTTCTACCTGCACCCTGTCTCAACTTTCAGGTTCACCGGTCTCTTCCCCATGTGACCACCTCTTTCTACTTGTCTTCATCAACTTATGCAGAATGTGGATTATTTTTCACCTAATATTTACATTATAAAAACAAGAAAACAGCAAATAAAAGTAGAGGAAAATTATAAAATATCTCATTACTTGATCATAACAATTATTATCTTGATACAGTCCTTTCCACCTTAGTGTGACTATTGGTGGTTAATCATAGTGCGTGCATGTTATGTCTCTTTATTAGAAACATTCAGGTGTTCTTTCATAGTGCTAAGTAGTCTTTGGAATAATTATGAAAAATAATTATTGGCCAGGCTCTCCTATCAGGTGAATATAACACAGTGCATTCAAAACAGCTTAGCTTTGTAGAGCACTTAGATGCTGTCCAGTTTTTCAAAATTATAGACTTCTAAGTAATGGAGCAAATCTTCTTGCCCATTATTTTGAGTTATTTCTTGGGATGAGAGACATTTAAGTTTGAGTATTAGGCAAAAATTAGGAGCATTTTCATGGCTTTTGATAAATGGTGCCAAATTGCTTCTAGAAGGCCATAACCACACCCGTTTATATCACCCTTCTGATTTCATCCCGCCTTACCAGCAAGGAGTATTTCATTTTCAAAGTGCTTGGCAACTTTTTTCTGGTTTACATTTCTTCTATTACAAATAAGATTGGAATTTTTTTGAATATGGTTCGTTGTTTGAAAAACATCTATGGTGTTCTTTGCCCATTTATCTTATGAGATCTTAATGTTGTCCTTATCCAGTTGTGTGAAGTACATGTGTGAGCTGATTTTTCCAAATAAAATAAAGATATTAACCATTTTTCCTAAAACATGTACTCCCAGTTTGCCTTTGTTATTGATATTATGGCTTACACAGAAAAATTATCTATTTTTTACAGTAAAATATATCAATAGTTTTGTGAGTTTTGACTTCTGGTTCTAGAATGTTAACACTGCTCTAGGAAATAGCCAGTTTTATGCTCTGTTATTGTTGTAATTTCATCTTTAGAAAAGATATTTGAGTGCTGCCTGGGTGGCTTAGTCAGTTAAGGGTCCTATTTAGCTCAGGTTTCATAGTTCATGGGTTCAAGCCCCATATTGGGCTCTGGGCTGACAGCTCAAAGCCTGAAGCCTGCTTTGGATTCTGTTTCTCCCTCTCTCTCTTTCTGCCCCTCCCCTGCTTGTAGTCTCTCTCAAAATAAAACATTTAAAAATAAAAAAGATATTTGACTATTCCATCTGAAATTTATTCTGGTGAGAAGTATATCAAATTGATCACATTTTTTTTTAAGTTTATTTATATTAAGAGAAAGAGCACTTTGGAGTGTGACTAGGGGAGGGGCAGAGAGAAAGGAGAGAGAGAATGCCAAGCAGGTTCCACACTGTCCACACAGAGCCAGGATGCGAGGCTGTATCCCATGAACTGCGAGATCATGACCTGAGCCGAAATCAAGAGTTGGATGCTCAACTGACTGAGCCATTGAGGCACCCCTCTTTTAAAAAAATGTTAAGGGGCACCTGGGTGGCTCAGTCGGTTAGACGTCGGACTTCTGCTCAGGTCATGATCTCACATTCATGGGTTTGAGGGCTGCATCAGGCTCTGTGCTGACAGCTCAGAGCCTGGCGCCTGCTTTGGATTCTGTGTCTCCCTCTCTCTCTGCTCCTCCCCTGCTTACCCTCTGTCTTTCAAAAATAAATGTTAAAAAAAATTTTTTTTAATGTTAATAATTCTGGGGCACCTGGGTGGCTGAGTCAGTTAAGCATTCCACTTCGGCTGAGATCATAATCTCACCATTTGTGAGTTCGAGCCCCGCATTGGACTCTGTGCTGACAGCTAGCAGCCTGGAACCTGCTTTGGATTTGGTATCTCCTTCTCTCTCTGCTCCTCCCCTGCTCTCTGTCTCTCTCTCAAAAATAAATATTTTTAAAAAATGATCATAATTCCGACACCATTTACTGAGAGATCCTTTCCTTTTTCCATAATCTTTGGATTTTTCTTTTATCATATTAAATCTCTATACATCCATGCACATATGACAGGATTCTGACTATCTGCTTGATTCCAGTTTATTGTGCCGGTACCACAGTTTTAAGTATTGTTACATAATCTATTTTAGTCTAAGGACTCGGTCCTCCTCTTGACTACTGTAGTTCCCTCTCATTTTAAAAAAATTTTATGTTTATTTTTGAGAGAGAAAGAGATTGAGAGAGAAAGAGAGAACTTAGTGGAGGGACAGAGAAAGAGGGAGACACAGAATCCGAAGCAGGCGCCAGGCTCTGAGCTGTCAACACAGAGCCCGACAAGGGGCTTGAACTCACAAACTGAGATCATGACCTGAGCCGAAGTCAGACCCCCAATCGACTGAACCACCCAGGCGCCCCAATTCCCCTCTCATTTTTAAAAACATCATTACTAGTTTTATTCTTTGTGATTAATTTTAGATCCATTTTATCAACTTCCAAAAAACTCTGGATTTTTATTTGACTGCATCCATTTGGCAGTTACAGCTATTCAGTCCGTACATTAATTTGTGCAGTATTTAATTTCCTGGTAGGTCGTTTCTGTCTCCATGTCCGGAGGCATGCTCGGAGCAAAGGCAGAGGGAACGGGCTTGGCGTGGGCTGGGAGGCTGGGATGCTTGGGGGCAGGGGTGTTGGAGGGACTCAGCTGGCTGTACCTGGGCTGGTCCACGAGTGCCCTTGTGTCTGCCGGGGGGCGGGTGGTGGTGGGGATGGGGGTGGGGAGTTTGGGCGAGGGAGACCGGTGTATGCTGCACAGGCCAGGAGACCCGGGTTCCAGCCCCACCTGGAGGGTTGTTAGCCCCTCTGGGCCAGGGTGAAGCCACTTCATCTGCCCCGGCCTCGTCCCCCAAGGAGCCTCCCAGCTCTGAAGTCCTGTTCACCTCTGCTCCCCATGGTGAAGGACCCCGCTGTGCTGTCCTTGCTTCAGCTCTGCTAGACCACGAGGCGGGGAGGTGGAGAGCCTTCTCCTGGACCCTCTAGATCCCAGCACCCAGTCGGGTTCTTCTGGGTTCTTCAGCCCTCAAGGGTGTTCCACACCGGCAGGAAGAGGGGGCAGAGGGAGAAAGCATGCTGCTCCAGTGTAGACAAGAGCTTTGTCCCAGCTCACGTGTTTTAGCACCGCGGTGTCAGGCTGCGACATAAACAGAAATCAGCCAGTGTGTGTGTGATTCTGCAGCTCACCGAGGGGACGCCTGGGTGGTGCCCGTGCTCTTCATATGCAGATCACACCTTGAATAGCAAAGCTATAATAGAACACCAATCTATGTGGAATTCTTGGCTGAAAAAAAAAAGAAAGGTGAGTTGGCTGAAAAAAAAAAGGTGAGTTAGGAGGCAGGGGAGGCTAGGCAGCTAGAGCCTGGTGACCATTATGACCATTATGCTTTTAATTATTTATTTTTTAACGTTTATTTATTTTTGAGAGAGCGTGAGCAGTGGAGGGACAGAGAGAGACAGGGAGACACATAATCTGAAGCAGGCTCCAGGCTCCGAGCCGTCAGCACAGAGCCCATCACGGGACTTGAACTCACTGAACCACGAGATCATGACCTGAGCCTAAGTTGGATGCTTAGCCGACTGAGCCACCCAGGTGCCCCCCATTATGCTTTTAAAAGTATGCGTATAGACAAGAAACACAAAGCCATCTGATACATTGTTGGGACGGTAAGGTTACAGTCAAGGTTTTTTACCTGTTTGTTGCTTTCAAGTGTTGGCAAAGAATAAAAACTGTCTTGAAATCTCTTTGTGAACGGGAAAAACAAAAGCGGTTCATCCCGCAGCCACAAAGGGCCACATCACTCGTTGTCCCTTCTCTAAGTGACTGTGCTCCTGAGGTAAGTCTTCTCTCTGGCTGGGGCAGTTCTGAAGGTGTTTTCAAAGAGCCTGCTTAGGTTTGCTCTCATCTAGAAGTCCCCGAGGCTGTACCCACTGCCCAGAAGGTGAAGTGTGACCAGCAGACCCACCTCTGGTACAGATACAGCCCCTAGAGATGTAAGCAAGGAGTCCCTTGCTCCTCATACAGGGTTAACCCGCAGCTGGACCAAATGACCAGGGACGCCCTCCACACCCACCAAAAGCGTTAAGGAAAATCTCTGAGTTAAAAGTTTGCCTTTCTTACTGGAAGAATTTTTATTAGGCCAAAGCGTTGACAAGTTTGTCATTCCCAGAATCTGCTAACACCCTCCCTCCGTTCCCTTCAATTTTTAGCACTTTTCCCCTCCTCATATTTGGAGGGGAGGAAAAACTATCTTGAACAAGCAGAAAGTTTTATCCAAGGTGTTTGGCAATGACTCGGTGTGCTGGGAGAGATTTATGTCTCCGTTCTCTGGCACTGCCTAGCGTGAGCTCACTTAAAACAACTGAATAAATGAGTTCACTTTATCCTGTCAAAATGGAACCGAGGGCGGCACGGTACCCAGCTGGGGTCCTCGGGGACTCTGAGGCAATGTTCATGTCTCAGTCACTTGTGCTGAGCTCAGCCGTTTTTATGTCTGTCTGAGATCATTAAAATGAGGAGGGCAGGGAGCAGAAAGCCCTGTGGAATGAATGGTGTGATGGAAACATCGCTCGAAGCCTACAGGCTCAGCCCAAAGCCTGAATGTAGGGGTTCACTTAAAAGGCTGCCCCTGTACCAGTTAGCAGCCCGTCCGACAGCTGGTGTGACCTGAGCTCCCTGAAGGGGCTCCTCCAGAGAGGTTTCTCTGTGCGGATGGCCGCAGACTATTTGTTTCCCTATTTTGTCATTCCTGTGGTCCTACTACCATTAAGACTGGGCCCATTGAGACAAGGCCTTAATGCTCTAGAAAAGGAACATGGATTCTGTTCTGGATGGATTCTCTGGGTCAGGCTCAGTTCCATCCCTGGGTTGGGACTCAGGATTCTTTATTAACTCAAGGTAGCTTCCCCGGAGGGGAAGGATGGCACTGTTTGGTCCCAAGCAGGAGGGCCCAGGATCGCCCATCTGGAAAGTAGCTGCTTGACCCTCCACTTTCCCCTCTGCTAGGATTTGTTCCTCCTTCCAGAGTCCTCGGGCTGAAGCTTCTGTCTTAGGGTGGGAGACTGGGGCTGTAATGACCCCTGACAAGTTCTTAGCATTTAAAGGTGACACAGTGTGTCCCCTAGACTGTAAGGGTGGGGACTGTGCCTTCTTCCAAAGGAAGGAAGGTAGGGAGATGGAGGGAGGAAGGAAGTAGACCCTCACAAGACCTGGGAACTCTCATAAGAACTTAATGCCATTTTATAAATGTGGAAGCTAAGAGGTTGTGCTTTATGTAAATTTATGTAAATACGTCCTTATATCAGTTTATTTTTGCTTAAGAATGTAATTAGTTTGGGGGCGCTTGGATGCCTCAGTTGGTTAGGCACATGACTTTGGCTCAGGTCATGATCTCGTGGTTCATGAGTTCGAGACCTGCATCAGGCTCTGTGCTGACAGATCTTTGGATTCTGTGTCTCCCACTGTCTCTCTGCCCCTCCCCCACTAACACTCTGTCAGAGTCTCTCTCTCAAGAATAAATAGACATAAATTTAAAAAAAAATGTAACTAGTTTGATGTGCACTGGTTATTTTTTCAACATGCCTTAATGCACAAATATAGATAAGATAAAAATTGTCATCCGTGTGTCACCTTGGATGTTGCCCAAAGTGCTCCCATCCCACAAGGACAGTGGCTGTCACAGTGTGGTCCCCAGGTTGGCAGCATCAGCATCACCTGAGAAGGTCTCAGAAATGCAAATTCTCAGGCCCTACCATTGACCTCCTGAATCAGAAACTCTGGGAATGGGGCGCAGCAAGCTCTTTTCTCAAACCTTCCAGGCAATTCCCACACTTGCTTAAGTTTGGCAACCACTGCCCTGGAGAGTGGGACCACTCGGGAGTATCTTCCTTTGCCCCTCCTGGACTCACAGCGTCCTCATGAACACAGCACGTGAAAGCCCTGGGTGAAGCACCGTATAAATGTTAACTCAGACCCAGCCTTTCACAGCTTAGTTAAGAAAGACTAGAAATGTGATGTGAAAGAACATCTGGCTGGAGGAAGACACCTTGAAACTTACACATGAGGGTACAGAGGAGCCAACGCTGGCTCATTTCTCTCTGATTCCTTTGGTCAGAATTCAGAACTGATGAGGAGGACCTAGTAAAGCAGCTGGCTCCCCATGGTTTAGAACAGCCCTGTCCGACAGAACTTTCTGCAATGATGGGCATGTTCAATATCTGCATTGTGCTGGGAGACACTTCATGTGTCTTTTGCATTTCTGCACATTTTTCAAGGAGGGCACTGACTACCTTTTTCTGGACAATTTTCAAAGACATTTGTATAGCCAACAGTCTTGGAAGGCAGAGATAATGTCTTCTTGCAGAGCCAAGAAAACAGCCTGCTTCCTGCCCATTATAAAAGATTCAGGTTCCCTAAATTGGGGGTTTCTCTCTTGTATTGGAGCCCACTGCATGCACAAGGATCATCTGGCCCTCCTCATGTTGCCCTGCGAGAACTGGAGCTCAGGAAACTAGAGCAAGCAAATGCTGATACTCTGGCCACTGATATTGCTATAAATAATAAAGTCTTTTGTCTCAGACTCAGGAGTCTCATGTCTTACGCTAGCATTTGTGAAACTGGCAGATTAAATTGTTAGCTTGCAACTAGAGGAAAATATGAGAGTCTTCACATTCCTCAACACATTGTCCAAAACACGTGGCCATTGAGCAACTGAAATGTGGCTAGTATGACTAAGAAACTGAATTTTTAGTTTGAACTCATTTTCCCTAGTTTTATTGAGGTATAATTGACAACTAAAATTATATTTAAAGTGTACAATGTGATGATCTGATACAAGTATACATTGTGATTACAATCCAATTTATTTACATATCCGTCATCTCACGTGTAGTTACCTTGCTTCCTTTTTTGGTTAGAACTCTTAAGAATTACTCTCAGCAAATTTCAAATATATAGTACAGTATTATTAACCATAGTCAGCATGCTATACATGAGACCCTCGGAACATACTCATCTTGTCACTGAAAGTTTGAACACTTTGATTAATCTCTCCTCATTTCCCTCACCTTCCAGTCCCTGGCAACCACCATTCTACTCTGTATCTGTGAGTTTGACTTTTTTCTCCCCCATTTTTTAGATTCCACATGTAAAATTCTATATATGCCATACAGTATCTGTCTTCCTCTGGCTTATTTCATTTAGCATAACGCCCTCCAGGTCCATCCATTTGTCATAAATAGCTGGGTTTACTTTTTTAGGGTTGAGAAATATTCCATTGCATATATTCTGTCAAAGTTTATTTATTTATTTTTGAGGGAGAGAGAAAGTGTGTGTGAGGGAAGGGCACAGAGAGAGGGAGAGAGAGAATCCCAAGCAGGATCTGCACTGTCAGCGCAGAGCCCGACACGGGGCTCCATCTCACGAGCTGTGAGATCATGACCTGAGCCGAAATCAAGTCAGACATGATGCCTAATGGACTGAGCCACACAGGCGTCCCTCCATTGTATATTTGGACCACATCTACTTTATTCATTCATCCCTTGATAGGCATGTAGGCTATTCCCATACCTTAGTGATTGTGAATAATGCTGTGATAAACATGAGGGTGCAGATGTATCTTCGAGCTTCTGATTTCACTTTCTTTGGATATGTATCCAGATGTGAGATTTATTTTTAAATAGACACGTATGGCTGGGGACTATCACATGGGACCATGTAGCTTAGAATGTTGAAGCATCAACAAGCAGGACCAGGAAGAAAGATTTTTCCACATTGAGAGGGAGTTGAGACTTAGGTGATCTCTAAGGCATTTTCAGTATTTGAGTGTTAATGATTCTGCGCCTCTTGGAGGAGTGGAATTGTGAAGGGGTGCCTTTTCTTTTTTATTATGTCTGGAGAGGGTTCCTGGTACAGCTCAGAGATGAAAGGAAAGAGGAATTGGGACTGAGTTTGGAACTGGGGGGTGGGGAGATATTCTTGCTCTAGGAAATGTCTTTTGGAAGGGGCTTGGATTGAAGAGAGAAGATACGGCCAGAGAAGACAAGCAGACCAGTGGCCCTTAAATTACTCAGCTCTGCCCTCCCCTTCTCCCCTCAGCTTGAGAATATCCCCCATCCACCCCTCATTGGTCAGAGGCCCTTTTCAGCTCCCCAGGCACCTGCCCCCTTCCCTCCTGGCTCAGAACAATCTCCTCTTTGATTGCTGGCCCAGGCCCCGCTGACAGGTCAGGTCATATGTACCTAATCAGGAGGAGCTGGGGCCTGAGGGATGATAAACAGGGCTTCTCATTTCAATAAAGTTTGTGCAGAATATTGGAAACAGCTGCGGGCCTTGGCTGGCGGTGCCAGAGTCCGTGGGGGCCCAGTGTTTGGGGGGAGGAGGGTTGAAATCGGGAAACACCAGGGCAGGAGTCTAAAGGGTGCTTTGCCCCCCCCAAAGGCTGAGAAAGCTAGTGAGCCTAGTTCAATGCCAGCGGCTTCTGGAATCCCAGGCTTTGTGGGGAGGGTGGAGAGCCCTCTGGCATCAGAGGTCTGAGGTCATAGCCAGGCAGGTCTGGATTACCCAAGAGGCCTTTATATATATTTATGTAAATATGTCGTTTATGTTTACAAATTCCACATAGATGTCTCCGCAAGCTGCTTTTCTCACCTAATGCTGCAAAAAAAAAAACCCCTCTAAATGTATTCTTTTTCTTAAACAGTGGCAAAAATATATGTAAAACTTACCACCTTAATCATTTTTAAGGGTACAGCCCCCTGATGTTAAGGATATTCACACTGTCATGCAACCAACCTCCAGAACTTTCTCACCTTACAAAACTGAAACTCTGTACCCGTGAAACACCAGCTCCCCATTCACCTCTCACCCCAGCCACTGGAAACCACTTTTCTTTCTGTTTCTCCCAGTCTGTCTATAAGTATCAAAAGCGGAATCTACAGCATTTGTCTTTTTGTAATTTACCCTTAATAGTTGCATAACATACAGTATATGGACCTATGTGTATCATTCCAAAATTACTAGTACGTTTGTTGCTGTAAAAAAAAGTGCTATGCAATTTTTTTATGCATATCCTTGAATACTGGAGTTTGCTGCCTTTCTTACTTTTTCTTTTTTATTTCCTCCCTCCCTCCTTTCCTCTTTTCCTTCCTTCCTTCCTTCCTTCCTTCCTTCCTTCCTTCCTTCCTTCCTTCCTTCCTTCCTTCCTTCCTTCCTTCCTTCCTTCCTTCTCTGTAGGATAAAAAACCAGAAATGACATGTCATGACATATGAAATAACCCATAGCTGGTTCAAAGAGATGCATATTTTTAAAAAAAATGTTTAATGTTTATTTTTGAGAGAGAGATACGAGTGCAAACAGGGAGGGGTAGAGAGAGAGGGAGACACAGAATCTGAAGCAGGCTCCAGGCTCTGAGCTGTCAGCACAGAGCCCAATGCTGGGCTTGAACCCACAAACCACGAGATCGTGACCTGAGCTGAAGTCGAACATCTAACTGACTGAGCCACTCAGGCGCCCCAAGAGATGCCTATTTTTACCTTCCATACCTGTTACTAGATCCCTTTCTCAGAAGTCTGGGTAACTCCCATCTCCACCATTGTGACTGAGAGTAGCTTCTCCCACATACCCTTCAGCGCTGGCTCTCCTCACTTGAAGGTTTGCTGTTGTGATAAAGGAAAAGTGGAGTCATGCTTTTAAAATATTCATTTCTCTATTAACAAGATTGTGCATCTTTCCCTGAGTGCATTGGCCATTTCCAATACAAATACAAATGTGTTCATATGTTTTGTGCATTTTCTCGCTGGCTTCTCTTTCTTACTGTACATGGGAGCTCTTTGCTCCCAGACAGGTGGATGTTAACTCTCTATAGGTAGTAGATGTTGAAATTTTGTCTGTAATTTGTCTTTTGACTCTGTATATGTGGTTTTTTACCCTTTGAAAATTAAAAAAAAAAAAGAGGGGATGTTGGGGGCGCTGGGTGGCTCAGTTGGTTAAGCATCCAACTTCAGCTCAGGTCATGATCTCGTGGTCTGTGAGTTCAAGCCCCGTACTGGGCTCTGTGCTGACAGCTCGGAGCCTGGAGCCTGCTTCAGACTCTGCGTCTCCTCCTCTCTCTGCTCCTCCCCCACTCAGGCTCTCTCTTTCTCTCTCTAAAATAAACATTAACAAAAAAATTTTTTAAATGTATGTCTACCTTTTCTTCTCTAGCTTCTGGATTTTCCGTTTTGTTTAGAAAAATCTCCCCAAACCATAGATTGTATAAATATTCTTCTAATGTTTTCCTCGTTAGATTGTTTTAAACAGTGTTTAAAATTGTTTTAAATAGTTCCTCATGAAATTGTTTAAAAATGAAAAACAATATATAAATGGTCTTAAATGTTTAAATTTAAACACATTTAAATCTTCAACCTATTTGAAATTTAGTTTTAATAACTTGTGAGGTAGAGAGATGAACCTTGTTCTGTTTTTTTCAGAGAGCCAGTAGGGCCTATGCAATTGATCAAATAAACTATCCTTCTCCTCACCGGTTTAAAATACCACTTTTATTGTGTATTCTCCTTATGTACTGATGTATATTTCTGGACTCAGTTCTATTTCTGTCCCATGAATCTGTTTATCTTGTCCTTTAGCCTTAACATAGGATTTGGTCAAAGTGATTTGTAGTCCGTTTTCATAGGCCCCTCTTACCTAAATATTTCCTCATTACTGTTGTTTTCATCGTCACGGTTATACAAATTCCTTGCAGCCGTCAGAGGCTGGGAACGTCGGTAACTTTTCAAGAGAAGCCAGAGTCAGTCCGGGAAGGCCTGCCCATGTACACGGTGGGGAATCAAGGACGGCAGAGGCCAGGCGATATTTGAGGAGCATTGCCCATGTGCTCGGTACTGCTCTTTTCAGTAGAGCTGGGGCGGGAAGACCAGAGCTTCCCACCCTGCAGTGACTAATACTTGAAGTTTCTGGCTTCTCAGCTCCAGCCCCATCCTCTGGACACTGCTTTGTGAAGGTGGCCTTGGGCCCTGTGAATCCCGTTTCTGCTTGACCAGCTGTTCCCAGTTGGGTCCTTGCAACCGGAGCCACTAGTGGGAGGCTGCAGGCTGGAGGAGGACCGGTGACCGCCTGCCTTCTGTGTGTTCCCTGTAAGAGGCACCCCAATCGCCTCCCCCTTTCACCCCACAGCAGGCCCCTCCCGAAGCTGAATCCAGCATGCCACTTCTCCAGTATGTCCAGCTTCACCACTCGCCGTGTACCCCACATGCCAGCTCCAGAGACTCCGGCCCCTGCCAGCAGGTGCCCCTTCCTCAGAGGTCTGGGCACAAGCCCAGGGGACCTTCCTTCCGGCTGAGAGCCTCCTCCCCAGGGCTCTGGGTCCCTCCTCCAAATGTCTAAGGGTTAGTGATTATAGCCTCTTCCTCTGGTTTCCCCAGCTGCTGGCCGTGGTGGCTGCCATTGCCGAGACCCCATGACGCCTGAGCCATTCCTTCTCTCGTCGCCCTTCTCTTATCTCAGGAACAATATATCTAGTTATCGATTCTTTTTTTTTTTTTTAATAGATTCTTTATCCTTCTTTCAACTAACTGGTGGGATTTTTGTCTCCTGATGGGCCCCTGACCGACACAGGTAACGGGGTGGGGGGGTATCGAAGTTTTCTGGGGGCTGAGGGCTGCTTCCCTTGGCCAACCTGCTGAGAGCTCCCCTCCCTCCTCCATTCCCAGAATTATTTGGCTGCCAGTTGTCAAGGAGACGGCTGACAATTTCCAGTTGCCAAGACTCCCCCTGGAGTTCTTCGGAGACCTTCTGGAAACTCCCTACTCCTTCCTGCTCCCCAGCCAGGGAACTTGGAGAATCTAGCCAGGTTGGAGGGTAGGAGGGCAGGGCATGGGAAGGGGTGTAGGGAGCAGACCAGGCCTGCAGATGGAAAGAGAGACAAGCAATTTCCTTGGGCCTTGGCTTCGTCCACAGACCTCTAGTGCCTGGCCAGCTCCCCCAGCCTGGTCCCGACACATACCCACTGGGTCCAGACAAGGCTGAGTCCTCCATCCAGACCCTCAACTGCAGACATCTGTCCTCACGCCATCCCTCCCCCAGGCACGGTGGGAGCCCCACTGCTAGCTGCAGCACGGAAGAGCCCAGAACCTTTCTTGGGGAGGAGGCTCAGCTACTCCTAAGTTCCTGTCACTGAAGCAGGCAGCGCACACACTGGCACCTAGTGTCACGCCCTGGCTCCAGTCTGTTTCATAATAATAGCGGCGGCAATGTAACAATAATAATAACGGTGGGTGGGTGTGTGTAAATCTCACTGCATTAAAATCAAATAAAGTTGCCTCCATTACTAGGTCCCTCCCCTCACCCCCCCAGAGCCCACCAGGATCTGCAAGGCTTACAAGGTACCAAAAATAGGGAGACGCTTATAACCCTGCACCCATCATGGTTGCCACTGACCTTCCTGTTGGCCAAGGCTTCGGGACACTTTCCACTTCTCTGCCCTTTGTGGGTTAGGGGCCTGGCCTCTGGAGGTTCATCCTCTCTTGAGGACCCAGTGACCTCTGACTCATCCCCAAACTCAAAGACTGCCACCAGAGGCACTCTCCTTTCTCCTCCTTACTGCTTCCACAGAGAACACCTAACACAACGTTTCAATGACGTCGTGATTCCAAAAAAAATTAAAAATGTTGACTGATGTGAAGCAGGTTTTGCATCTGTCCTATAAAAATCCTTGCAGCGGGGAGTCTGGGTGGCTCAGTTGGTTAAGTGTCCGACTTTGGCTCAGGTCATGATCTCACGGTTTGTGGGTTCAAGCCCTGCGTCGGGCTCTGTGCTGACAACTCAGAGCCTGGGGTCTATTTCGAATTCTGTGTCTCCCTGTCTCTCTGACCCTCCCCTGCTCACTCTCTCTCTCTCAGAAATAAATAAAACATTAAAAAAAATTCCTTGCAGCAACGTAGAACTAAAGACCTGGCTAAGCCTCATCTGCTTTATTTTTGCAGAAGTCTGTGGAGGGAACTGAAGACACCATTACGTCTCCTCCCTGAAGGTCTTAGCATTCGTTTAAGAAAAGTAGAAACACTGCCTTACCTAATCACAAAACCATCACCTCCCAAAAGAGAATTAGCAACATTTTTCCAGGGGCGTCTCATAACGGATCAGCCTCATTTACGGAAAGGGACTGAGACCTGGGAGCGGCCAGGGGGCCTGTATCTGAACGCCCGCCGGGTCCCAGGCTCTGCTCCTTCTACAGCTCCGTGGGTTTGCATAGTGGTTTCTGCTTCTCGCCGTCCTCTCCTAGGCACCCGCCCCTTCAGCTTCTACAACAGCCCTGAGAAGCCGCCGGGCCGGCGTGGCAACCCCGTTCTTAACTGCTGAGGGAACAGAGGCCCAGAGGGACGGAGTGTCCCACCTGCAGTGGCGTGGGAAGGGTGGCTGTGAAAGTCTCCGGGACTGGTGCAGCCGCTGGAAGGAGGGCTGCCTCCAGGCGGAGCTGGCACAGGGAACAGGCCTGCCTCCCGTCCCCCAAAGGGGGCACTTAGCCCCATCGTCACACCTCAGCTTCGTCCCCCCTTACCGTTGGCCCCCTCTTCCTCACCCCTCTATCTAGGGCCTCTTCATTTCCTCTCTGGTCTCCAAAGGGCAGTTAACAAAGTGACTGAGCGGTGACCCCTGCAGGGCCCCCCTGTCCCTCTTGCCCTCCCCCTCCTCCTCTCAGCCAGGAACACAGCAGGAGCCAAGTCCACTGCGGAGCCTCTGGCCCATTTCCTCTCCAGCCCTCGGCTCATCTCCTGCCGGGGTCCCCGAGGGCCTAGGGCTGGCCTCTGACAAGGCACACATGGACACATGTGAAAAAGCCATTTACTTCCAGGAGCATCTGCTTCCTCTGCTCCAGTCCAGCTGACACTATCCTTCCACAGTCTGTTTCCCCCAAAGCCTCAGGTTTTCAAAATCAGGGTTGAAAATGGTCGCCACAGGCTGGAGAAGTCTGACGCGGCGCTGCCCAGAGCGAGGCAGAAGTTTCCCAGAAACTGAGGCAGCGGCCAGGAAACCCAAGCCCTCATTGCAGCTGGACGGCTACCTCGCCCAAGCACCTGGGGAGTCCCATGGAGCCACCATTTCCTCTCACAATACTAAGTTCTGTCCAGCCTTCCTCCTGGGCCTAGGTGAGGACCCAGGAACGCAGAAATAAACGTTAACTGGATGGATCAGCAAAACTCTAACACAGTACATAACCGAGAGAGATTTTGAGTCTTCTTGTCAGAGAGAAAAGGAACGTAGCAGTTTCACAGGCTTCTGGCCAGCCCTGAGGGGACAGTCTCAGGTGGTGACACCCTGGAAAATCCTCAAAGGTCATGGAGCTACAAGGAGCATGGGAGACTGATTCATAGGGGAAAAAAGTGGAGAGAATCTGAGCCCATTGGTAAAATGTGGGTAGCAGTACTACTTCATGGAGTGTGGAAAACACCTAGCCCATACAACATGTCCTTAGCGGTAAATGGTGTTATTATTTAGGTAGAGAATAGAAGGACTGGACATGCTGTGTCAAATTCTGAATGGTTTTCATTTGGAAGAGGGATATGAGTAATTTGGCAAAGTTTCAGGAGAAGAGCTCAACCCTGACAATAGCAGCATCAGGGAGGCAGATTCTAGTTCACCCTAAACAGAAAGAGGGCAAGAATGAACATTTATTGAGTGTATGCTAGGTGCTTACAAGGTGCTTGGTACATGTGGGCTCATCTTATCTGTCCGATAGCTTGAAGATGAAGTCATTGTTATGCTCATTTTAAAGATGAGGACAAGGAAGTTCAGGGTACGTGCTTGCCCAGGGTCATGTAGCTATTGCAGTGCCCACCCAAAGTTGGTCAATAGGAGGGGCTGTTGGGCCATCTCTCCAGAAAGCTGTTGGGGGCTTCCTCTGCTATAAAGTGGGTCTTGCTGACCCATTCAGAGCCCTCAGCCTGGTTCTCCAAAATGTCAGCTCAAACAACTCAAGAGTCTGGATCTCCCAGTCCATCCTTGTAACCTCTTCTCTTCTGAGTTGAGCCAAGAGAACGCTCCAGAGTTGGCCCCTCATCCCTCCTGACTCTAGACCATTCCCTCTTCCTCCTTCCAGGAGGAAGCAAAGCAATGATGCAGGTACTGATGTGAGCCCTTGGGACCCAGGTAGGCTGTCGATGGAAGCCCCACAGTGAAGAGCCCTGCAAAGGACCTGGACAGGAGGGGAGGATGAGAAGCAGGCACCAAACCCTGGGGAGCTTACAGCCTCACCTGCCCCAGAGCCTGGGTACAGAGCATGCCCAGAGCAAAGCAGTGCCAGGTCAGCCTGGCTTGGCTGGTGCTCTTTGGGGAAGAGGGGACGCGAGACAGGGAGGTGGCCTGCGTGTGTAGCACAGTGCCTAGCACTTAGTAGATGTTCAAGAAGTGTTGAATTAATCGTTGACATTCTTCAGTTCAAGGGGCATAAATAATTTTAATAGGCAGGTGCTATATATGCATAAGCTCATTCATTCTTCTCAAAAGCAATTATATAAATAAGAAACTGAGGCTCAGGGGAAGTTAGTTACATGCCAAGATCACACAATAACAAAGAGGCAAAGCTGTATGCTGACCATGGCACTTTGTTCTCTCAACCGTGAAAGACCTTCCCTCTCCTGGCCCCTGAGCTCCCATTGCGTCTGACACAGGAATCCTAGACCTGCTTGCCCATTCTGGTCATGCCTCCTGTTCCCTTCCAGACATGACTGTGGCTCTGCCCTGGGTAGGGGGACGATTAATTTTATGTGTCAACTTCACAGAGCCACGGCATGGCCAGATATTTGATCAAACATTATTCTGAGTATGCCTGTGAGGGTGTTTCTGGGTAAGATTCACATTTGAATCAGTGGACAGAGTAAAGCAGATTGCTCCCCACCCCCCCATGTGGGTGGACCTCGTCCAATCAGTTGAAAGCTCGAATGGAACAAAAAGCTAGACCTTCTCCTTCAAATAGGAGAGAACTCTTCCTGCCTTTCTGCTTTGAGATGGGACATCAATCTTTTTCTGCCTTTGGACTCGGACCCAAGCATCAGCTCTTTTTTTTTTTTTAATTTTTTTTTTTAATTTTTTATTTATTTCTAGGAGAGAGAGAGAGACAGCGTGAGCAGGGGAGGGTCAGAGAGAGAGAGGGAGATACAGACTCTGAAACAGGCTCCAGGCCCTGAGCCGGCAGTCAGCACAGAGCCCGATGCAGGGCTCGAACCCACGAACCGCGAGATCATGACCTAAGCGAAAGTCAGACGCTTAACCGACTAAGCCACCCAGGCGCCCCCCAAGCATCAGCTCTTACTGGGCCTCAAGTTTTCCAGTCTTCAAACTGGAACTTACACCCTAGGCCCTCCTGGGTTTCCAGCTTGCTGACTGCAAATCTGGGGATTTGCCCACCCCTCTAATCATGTGAGCCAATTTCTTACAAGAAAGGCATAGACACACGCATCCTATCAGTTCTGTTTCTCTGGAGAATCCTAATACACTTCTTCCCTGATTCTCCCTTCCAGAGTCTCCCTTACTAAAGAGGCACAGTGAGTTGAGGAGCACTGCCCATATCTTCTGAGATCCTGATGGCCCTGGGTGAGACAAGGCTGCCTGCAGGGGCCTATTCCACAAGCGGAAGAGGTTAACTTCAAGGCCAGCACAAATGCTTGTTGCAAGATCGAATATCCTTTAAGGTGTCCTCATTCACTCTGCCTGGATGCTCATGTTTTCTCTAAAGACAGGGCTGTGCCCCTCTTGAGGCAGACAGCAGCTCCAGGTCCCCATTCTTTTCTCCCAAAGGAACGTTAAGATATTCCCAGTTTGGGGTGGGGGGATCAAAAGGAGTGGGCCATATGGACTGGTCAGTAGGGTCAGGAAAACATGCCATCCTCAACTATGTGGGAACCTGACTCTCAGGGACCATATGTCATTCTGCTTGAAGCCCAGTTAGGAGGGAATAGACTCGTGGCTCTAAGGAGGGCACGGAAGGACCATGGCCATGGCTAAATGAGAGTGGAACAGGGATCTGTCCACTAGCCTGGGGCAAGTGAGAGGCCGAGCGTGCCACGGTGAGCACCTCAGGGCACTCAGCTCTGACTCCTTCTGTCCCAGCCGAGCCCTGGTGAACCTGACACCAGACATCAGATCCCGCATCTCACCGGGATCTGGGAATCTTACCCTACCCCTAACCCTGCACCAGAAGACAGAAGACTGACCTCACGTCAGGCTGTCAGAGACACCTAGCAGCAGGAGAGACGGTCCATGCTTCATAGATCAGATCCGGCTGGAGCGTGAAGGACAGCACACCAACTACACGCTGGGCGCCTCACCCAAGAGTGTGCATGCCTGTGTGCGCGTACAGCTTGATGAACTGTAACCCCGAACCAACTCACGAAATAGGACTTTACTAGCATCCTTCAAGCACCGCCCCCCACAATGCTAACATAAGGTTTTCATCTAATATCCACAACCATCTTACAAAAAAAGGTGTTCTTATCCCCCTTTATTTGTGAAGAAACTAAAGCTCAGAGAGGTTCAGAAATTTCCAGAAGTGTCCCAGCTCATCAGTCAAACCCGAACTCTGGCATTGTGTTGGATGAACTCCTTCCGCTTCTCTACCAGCTTCTCCCAACAAAACAGCAGGGAAACACAAGAGGGGACGAAAGGCATTCAATGACACGTTTGGATGTCCTTGTCCCTGAGGCCCGGAGCGCTGCACACGGGGTCCCGTGCTGGGCAGGTGCCTGGACTTGATGAGGTTGGGGCCATTTTCAATGCTATGCTCAGTGACTCTCTAATATTATACTGTCACTGAAGTGAAAATGCAGGGAGCTCAGGGTTGTCCCCGAGGTGTGTGCCCAGCCAGGTCTTGCCCTCCCCATCTCTGCATTATGGATGGAGTGGAATCATCTGGTAAATAATTCACTTGTCATCGGGACAGTGAGGGTAACAGGAGAGCAGGATGGAGATGTCAGAAGGCTGAGGTTTGCCACCCGAGCCAGACCCCCAATCCTTTCGGGCTGGGCTTTGCTCTGGAGAGAGAGTGCCGGAGAGTCAGGCAGGAGCCCCACATGGGCAGCCACCGAGGGACACGAGGCCATGGTGGGTCAGAGGACCCTGCATAAACTGCTCAGTCTCCTGCTGCTGACACCTCTCTGCCTTCTGCATCCAGGGGCCTTGGGTGAGTGATACTCAGACCGCCCCCCGCGGTGGCCCATTCCCCCCTCATATCCTGTCGTTTCTTCCCTTTCTTCCCCGGGATACCCTTTTACACTTCTGTGGCCATTCAGTCAAGTACATCCACTTTGTTCATCTGCTAGGCCTTAGCCAGCTCTCCCTGAGCTACCACTATGTACCAGGAGGAGGAGAGGGGCGGCAGGGACGGAACACAAAGTTTGCTCTGCACTATCTTCAGAAGCCTGGGTTATCCTGAGGACCACTGTTGGGTTGTAAACATGGAGTGACATGGTCAGATCTGAGCGTCCTTATTTATTTCTAGGAGAGAGAGAGACAGCGTGAGCAGGGGAGGGTCAGAGAGAGAGAGGGAGTTACAGACTAAAACAGGCTCCAGGCTCTGAGCTGACAGCACAGAGCCCGACGCGGGGCTCGAACCCACGAACCGCGAGATCATGACCTAAACGAAAGTCGGACGCTTAACTGACTAAGCCACCCAGGCGCCCCAGTGTTTATTTATTTTTGAGAGAGACAGAGCATGAGCAGAGGAGGGGCAGAGAGAGAGAGGGAGACACAGAATCCGAAGCAGACTACAGGCTCTGAGCTGTCAGCACAGAGCTCGATGCAGGACTGGAACTCAAATCATGAGATCATGACCTGAACTGAAGTCAGACGCTTAACCAACTGAGCCACCCAGCGCCCCCTGCAAATGTTCCTTTCGAGGCAGATGGTTTTCTGGGAGCTGAGAGCATCTGGGAGCTAGGCTAGTTGAGAGATTCTGGTAGCTTGGATCAAAGCAGTGTCTGCAGGGCTGGGAAGAATCAGCCCCTGGGTTAAGTGTTTTCTTCTTAATCAACTGAGCAGCAGAATTTCGCCCTTGATCCCTGCCCTCCAGCTCCATGCCTGTCTTCTCTTCTGGCTGGAGAAGCTGGGAGCAGTGGCAAGAGTCTGAGATCAGGAACCAGGCTCCATTCCCAGCTCCACCACCTACCATGTGTTTTTAGACAAAGTGAGTTCATGCTTCAGAGTCTCAGGGGATGTTATTATCGTTACCAATAAGGTCAACAGGTATTCAGCGCATTGACTGTCTCCCAAGGTACTATTGTCATGCACGTGTGGCAAAGCCCAGCACATTATAGTTATTTGGCCACAGGGGACGGGAGAACGTGGTCCTCAGGCAGATGCTGGGGTTCCATGCTAGGTCCTGAGCAGAAAAGAACACCTGCTGACAGCGTTACTCTGTAACGGCTATTTCATGCGGGACTCCCTGATAGACTGAAAGATCCGTGAGAGCAGGACTGGGGCGGCTCATCCGTCACTGGGGTGGCACTCTGGTGCCTGGTACAGAGCAGGTACTACGTAATTAGCAGTTGACACGTGAATGCTGGATGGGCTGCTAGCAGGCTGGGCTCATCTTCCCTGTGCTGCAGCACGTCTGGAATGCCCCTGGAATCTTTACACAGAGACCCCCCAGAGCCTCAGTTACCAGTAGATCTCCCAGCCTCAGGCTGATCATCAGATTGACTTCGAGATGCTTGTTAAAAATACAGATTCCTGGGTCCTGAGGCTTGGGGATTCTGACTCAGTGTTCTGCGGTGAGGCCCAGGAATACATATTGTTATCAGTCTCCACAACGGCCTGATGGCACCTGGGGGTGGGAACCTCAGCTCCAGTCTGTTCCCTGGTCTCAGGCAAGGACTCCCCCAGGCTGCCTGCACCTACAGCACGGCCAGACAGAATTCCAAAGCCCCTTCAGACACTGTCTCTTCCCTACCGACTCCAAGGAGAGGAGGGAGGAGAGCCCAGCACAGCCCATGTGTCCTGAATTGCCACTCTGTCCCTAGGGCAGCCTCACCTGACACGCAGAGCCCCCAGCGACGAGGAGGCCACGTCCATTCAAGGAGTGCGGGGCGGCTCTGTGGAGCTGGCCTGTGGCTCCGGGCCCACCCCCCTGGTGGTCTTCTGGAGCTTCACGCCCCTGGGCTCGCTCATCCCGCGGCCTGTGGCTGTCACCAATGGAGCAGAGTCCAAAGTGGAGGCCGGGGCCTCCGCTCTGGGGGCCATGAGTCTTTGGAACCGCAGCCTGGTGCTTCAGGAGTTGCGGGAGGGTGCCCGCGGCCACTTCCTGTGCCAGGCTCTGCACGCGGCCGGAGGCCAGCTCCATACCACCTACGCCTACCTCACCCTGGCCGTGCTGGGTGAGGAGTCCAGCTGGGGCGGGTGACCTGGGTTGCTTTGCATGTTGTTTTGCCTCTATTCCACGGGTCCTTGCCTCCAGGGGGATGAGAAAACCTGGGCTCTTGAAAAACGGATGGTCACAGGGCCCCATGGGCAGGCCAACACCCAGCCAGCAAGAGCTGGACTGTGAGGCATAGCCGGGCATGGCCTGGGTCTGTGATAAGAAACACGGGGCCTCTCCTTCCCCTGGCCAGTGCCCGTATCAAAGCCTCAGGTGAGACTGAGTGACCCATCCCCAGTGGAGGGGACCTCTGCGGTAGCCACGTGTGCGGTACGGGAGGGCACGGAGCCGGTGACTTTTGCCTGGAGACATCAGGCGCCTCGAGGCCCTGAGGAGGACCTGGTGGTCACAGAGCAATCACTTCAGCTAGACCCAGTCAACAGGACACACCTGGGCTGGTACGTGTGCAGTGCCCACAACGCCGTCAACTGGCTGAGCAGTGATGGAACCTTCCTTGATGTCATCTGTGAGTCAGACCGGGGGGGGGGGGGGGCGGGGAGCGGGAGGCACGTGGTCTGTGCCCTGCCTCCTGGCACACCTCAGGGCCACCAGGAGTGCCACGGCCCTCTAAGAGGCTCCAGAGGGCAAGAACCTCAGGGCACTGTAGCCACTGGTACCAAATACAGGTCTAGAACAGGGGTTTTAAGCTTTTCAAGCTCATGGGACCCTCTGCCCAGGAAAATAAGTGTACATTCAGAATCACAATTTTATGCATAATTACGGTAAAAGGGGTAGCCCACAGAGCTTGCCTTTGGGTTAAAGCTGAAGGCCTCTAAGGACCAACTGAACCCTGGGTCCCTGTACCTCAGTCCCTCAGGGACGCCTCCCACAGCCTTGGGTGCTACCCTCCACGGACCCTGAGCACCTACACTGGATGGTGCCTGTGGCCCCTGGACTCTGAGCTTCTTTGGGGCCTGGCCCAGTGGTTGACATAGTCGGTACATAGTACGAGCTGGTTGGATGGTAAGTTCAGCGATGCTTATGTGAGTGGGTGAGGGAATGAAGGCTGGAGAGACAGGACAAGTCCTCCTTGTCCCCCAGATGGTCCGGACACTCCTGTGATCACTGTGGAGCCGCTGGGCTTGACCGAGGAGGGTTTCTGGGCCAGTGAGAGGGAAGAGGTGACCCTGAGCTGCCGGGCTGCATCCAACCCCCCTTGTCACTATGTGTGGCTCCGGGACCACACTCAGGTCCACGCCGGGCCCGCCTACCTCATCGCCAGCGCCAGCCGCGCCCACACAGGCCTGTACACCTGCCTGGCTCACAACAGCCGCCTGGACACCCGCAGCCAGTCCACCGTCAGGCTCACCATCTACTGTGAGTGTGTGGGAAGCGGCCTCTCAAAGCCGGGGCCACCATGTCCTGGCAGACTCCAGGTGCCTGTGGAAAGCGGTGTAGGCGTTGTAAGGGAGGGAGGCTCCTCTTTGGGAGGCAGGAGCTGGAGAGCATGGGGCGGCACTGAGAAAGCTGTGGGAGGGGGCAGGGAGAGAGGAAGCCCCTGACCCTATGTCGACCTCATCCCCAAGCGATTCTTCCCACGGCCTTGGGGACTGAGCTGAGGCACAGAGAAGGGTAGAGAAATGACTGTGAGGCAAAGCACCCAGTGGCGAAGAAGAGGCGATGGGGAGACTTCCCATACGGGGGCTTCCATGGGCCTCTGGGATTCCTCAGGGGCTCTGAACTCCTGCTCACCCCTTTCGCTTTTACCCCCTGACCTCAGAGACCTCTTTGCTCTCCAGCCCCTCAGAGGGATCCATGATTCCCTGCCCATCCACTTCTCCCTCCTCCTACCCTTGACCCTGTGGCCTCCAGGCCTCCGGGCTGGGCTGGGCGCTGCGGTACCCTGCAGCAATGCCTGTCCAGCCCCATCCTCACCCACTTCTCCGCCCAGATCCCCCTGAGGGGCAGCCTTCCTGTTCTGTGCTCCCCACCCTTGGGGCTGTGAGCTTGGCCTGCACCTGGCCAGGGGGGCTTCCCGCTGCCCAGCTGCAGTGGGAAGGGCCCCAGGGAATCGGCCCTGCTGCTGTCAGCAATGTCACCTGGAGTCGCACAGCCCCCCAGCTCCCTAATGGCGGTGTTTTCACCTGTGCCGGCCAGCACCCAGCCCTGGCGCTGCCTGCGCTCTGCAGGATTGCACTGTGTGAGTGGACGTGGGACCCAGCAGGGCTCTGATGTTCCAGGCAGAGGTGTGGGAGGGGGCCAGGGGAGAGCCCTTGAGGGGCCCTGGGATCTGGGATGAGGCTCCAGATCGCAAACTCCAAGACCTGCCATGTAGCAAGGAGGTGGACAGCACTGGCCCTGATCCTCCCTTTCAACTTGTCTCCACTCCAGCCGGGTACCCAGCCACCCTGCCCTGTCCTCTGCCATTCGGGCTTGGAGGCTCTCAATAAATGAATGAATGAAGGAATGAAGGAATGAATGAATGAGTCACTGAGTCAATGGAAGAATGAGGGAGTGAAGCACTAAATGAAGGAAGGGGAGATGGGGGAGGTCTCCCAGGCCCTTCCCCCTTTCTGTAGGGCCATGCTGAGCCATTATTCCCCATCCAGGGGAACCCCTCCGGAGCCCCACCTGCTGGACCACAGCCACAGCTGGAGACCAGTTCATCATGCTGAGCTGTGAGTGGCCTGGAGGTGAGCCCCGTGCCGTGCTGAGCTGGCTCGATGGACAGCAGCAGCCCCTGGGTACCACTAGCCCCTCACTGGCCATCCACCTGCTGCGTGCCCGGGAAGATCTGGCTGGCCGAGAGTTCACCTGCAGGGGCACTCACCCACTCAGGGTCCCTGACCCCCACTGCCAGCTCCAGCTGGGTGAGTAGGGGCTGGTGGCTTGGTTCTGGGGCTGAGGTGGGAGAGCAGCCCTTTGGAATCCCGATGAGGGCCTCTCGGGGTGTCTGCACTGGAATGCAAAGTGAGTCAGGAGACTGAGTCACCTCACTTCCCAGGGACTCAAGTTGTTTTGATCCATAAAATCAGGGGGTTTGGTCTGGGTCTGTGTTGTCCAATAAAAACAGGTGAGCCGTATAGACAATGTAAAATTTTACATTTAAAAAAGGACAAAGAAACAAGAGAAACATTTTATGGAACTCAATATACCCAAAGTATTATTATTTCAATGCATAATAATAAACAATTATGAATGAGGTATCTTATTCTACTGTCCTCAAAATCTGGTGTATTTAGTTACAGAACATCTCAGTGTGGACAGGCCACCTTTCAAGTGTGCAATAGTCACGTGTGGCCAGGGGCTACCCCTATGGGGCCGCACCCGGTCTAGACAGTGAGGGAATTCTGCCTCCCTCATTTGCATCAATTTGCATGAGAGGTGCCTGATTATATTCCTGACATGCATCCGTGTTTCAAGTATCAGAGGTCTCTGCCTCTCTCACTGCCTCTATTTGATTTGGTCTGGTTTCCTTCTCTGTCTTCATCTGGCCCTGACAGTCCCTTTTATTGCCAACTTCATGAAAAGGAGTTAAATATTGAAGTGACAAATGTGAGAAAAGCACACAGAGGAGCCGCCACATATAACAGTTCTCACAAAATGATTTATATCTTGGTCTCCAGGGGGTTGGTGACCAGCCTCCCTGGGGCTCTCAGGAGGCCCTCATCTGGGAACATTTCCCTCCCTTATTACTCAGTCTCGGGGCTGGAAATTCTATCCTAGGAGATTCACTGGCACCTGAAACCCTGGGTCTTTAGGACTCAGTCCATAAAAAGCATCTGCTCTGAGCCCAGCCCCATGCCCCGGGGGGGCAGAGGGGATGGGAGCTGGTGGGCCATTAGGGAGGTACTAGGAGGCCCCATGCCAGGTGCTAAGGGGGAGAGGGGGAGGTGGTTAACACAGAGTGAATAAGGCAGGGCCCCACCTGTAGGAGCTGAGGCTGGAGTTGGGTGGGGGCCAGAGGGGCAGGAAGGCACACTGCTGTTACCAAGAGATCTTGAAGCAGATTGTGGTAGGACCCTGGCATAGAATGGGATTCTGGAAGAGGCAGCAGACTGGCCCAAGACAAGCTTCACTACCAACTCCACTGGCCCCATCCCTCTTCCGTTTCCCCTCCGCTGCTGGCCAGCACCTTACCCCCAAGCCTTCCCACTAGCCCAGGCTCAGGGGACACCTTCCAGCCTTACCCTCTCTGTCGCTGCAGAAGCCCCGCAGGTGGCAGTGGCGAAGCCCTGGGTGTCTGTGCTGGAAGGGGGAGAGGCCCGGCTGGGCTGTGCCCTCCTGGGGGGCACGCCGCCTGTCCAGCTCCTCTGGCTGGGACCCCAGCAACGGCAAGTGGACGCCGGCCCTTCCGGATTCATACTGCACTCTGAGGGGGCCCAGCTCCACCTTGGTATCCGGGCCGCTGAGCCAGCACGCCACGGGGGCGCCTACCAATGCGTGGCTCGCAACGCCTTAGGGAACAGCAGTCGGAGCGTCCTGTTGGAAGTCCTGAGTGAGTGACGGGTGGTGGGTGTTTGTGTGGCGAGGGGCAGGGGGAACCTCCAGCCATGTGTAGGTGGAAAGACGCAGGGATCCTCTACCCCTAAATTTAGACACATTAGCTTCTCAGGCACAGACAGGCCATGGAAAGCGTGAACCCACATGGGCTTATGTGAACGTGAACCTGATGAATCTGATGCACTCTTGTATCAAGGCCGACGGTACTCCATGCTGGGAGAATAATCTGCTCAGTTTATAGGGGAGGGCACTAGGGCAACATGGACTGAAACTACACAGGACCAATCAGGTCTGCAGACCCCAACAGGGTGCCGCACTCCTGGCTGTCTCTCGACAACACTGGAACCAACTTGGGGGCCCAAGCACCCCGACACATGTGGCTGCAGGTGTGCAGGTGCTGTGTGTGTTCCCGCCCTCACCCCCAGGATACCCAGCTCCTCCCAACGTCACCATCAGCCGCCTGACGTACGGGAGACACCGGAGGGAGGTGCAGCTGCAGTGGGCCGTGCAAGGCCCTGGGAACCTGACGGGCTTCCTGGTGCAGCAGAGGCCCAGTGCCCCGAGCCCGGGAGCTGGGGCTTGGGAGACCGCAGCCACTGACATTGAGCCAGAGAGCAGGGGCCGGAGGCTGGGGGGCTTGGACCCAGGTGTCCGCTATGCCTTCCGCGTCCTGGCTCTGAATCACCACACGGCTGGACACCCCTCTGAGGTGAAGATACCAGGTGCCGGGGCTAGCGCCGTGGAGGGGCTCGCCTTTCCTCCACAATGCCGAACCCCGCTTCATCTTGCTCCTCGCAGGGCATCCCCTGCTCCGTTCCTCGGCCTCCTTCCCACTTGAGGTCCTTCCTCCCTGTCTCCTTCCTCTTCTCCACCCTCCCCTTCGGGAATCACGGCTGTCTTTCCCATCCCTCCCTGGGAGGCTCCGGAGGCCCCAGGCCCCAGCTCAGCTTGAACCTGGAGAAATGGGGAAGGGGGAGGCACAGGGTGCTGGCAATTTGAGAAGGGTAGGGGCCCAACTCTGTGCCTCAGTCTCACCTCCCAGGGCACAGCTGGGCTCTCGGTTTCCTGATGCTCTCTCTCCATCCTGGAAACTCCCTTATTTCATGGTGTCCTTCCCTTCAGCCCCGAGCTGCCAAGATTACTGAGGCTGAGGCCTTCGGTGCCACAAATGGGGGACTTGGCTTGGGCATGCAGAGCACCTCTTCCCTTGGGAAAGACCCGACTTATGGGTTCTCTGGGTCAAGTCCTGCTCTTGATTGCCCGCTGCAGGGCATTGCCTGCATGCCGCCCCCTAAGCCATTGTCACGTTTCAGTAGTGGCTCCAAAGCCATGTAACCAGCGCTCTCCCCTCCTTAGCGGACCCACCCTTCAGCGCCTATCCAGCAGTGCTTGGTGCAGCGGGCACAGGAGTGGTGGTGGCAACGGTGGCATCCCTACTGGTGTTCCAGTATGCTGCCCGGTACCCGGGGACCATCCCCTGTGAGTGGAAAGCCCAAGGGCGGGGCTGCTTGATTCCATAGGTGGCCGGGTCTAGACCTATCCAAGGAGAGATGTAGACTCCCCTGGGGAAGGAAGCTAGGCTCTTCCTGAACTGTGACTTCTCAATGCTAGCCGTCCATCCGGGCTCCAACCCCCAACCCCAGGATCTGAGGCCATCCCTGTCTGGTTCCCAAGTCTCTAACACAGAGCCTACAAAGGAAGGGAGGGCTATTCTCCAGGACCTGTGGAGGATCGCTCAAGTTAACACCCCTTCTTTTCTTCCTACAGGCCTTGGTCGGTTGCTTGTTCCCACGTGAGTGTAGAATTCTAGTCATTTGGGGGGCAGGGGATCAGGATTTTCCTCTAACTGGAAAGGAAGGCTGAGGAATTGAAGTTGTCACTAACTTCACTCTCGCACTTCACCTTCAGGGAGCAAAGTCATCACTATAGGGATTCTAGGGCAGACCTTGAGGAACGGGCAGGTAAGCATGACTTTCTCCCAAGGACTACTCATGTGTAAGGACAGCAGTCCTCGTTTCATGCATGATGCTGTGTCTTGTCCGAGAACAGTTGGGGAGCCCCCAAGGCATCGGACTCCTCTGCTTGGGTCTGTTCTTTAAAGGGATCGAGCCACCACCCACCACCCCAGATGTGGAGCCTGCACAGGAAGCCATGGATGCCCCCGTTAATGTCACCATCACTGTGACTGCAACCCCATGAAGCCCCCAGACAAAGGTGCAAACATGCACAGAGGAGACAGGGGGAATGGAAAGGTCCCTGTGTAGTCGGTCCTAAAGCCCAGAAAGCTAAGACACCAGCTACCCCGTCCCCTTTCGATAACCAGACTTGACAACCAGGACAAGGTGTGGTGCCTCTGGATGACTTGCTTCCAAGAGAAGTCCTGGCCCAGCTTATGGAACCTGGAGGTGGAAGGATGAGGAAGACACACACTTGGGGAAGAGACTGGCCGGGTGTCTGAGGGCCGGGGGGAAAGATGATTCCAGGGACGGTGCCTGCAGCTCTGATGAGCAAGCTAGCTGCCTGCACACAAAGCCTGTGAACTGAGCAACTGCTAAATAAATCATACGTGATGCTCTCACTACTGAAGGGTTATTTCAGTGGCAACTCCCACAGGGAGAGGCTGGCCCCAGCTTCAGCCGGGTCCCAGGCTCTCCTACAGGCAGGAAGCTAGGAGATGGGAAGCAGGATCTGTCGACCTGTGCTGCCTTCCTTCAACCGTAGCAAGAAAGGTGCTCTTCTAGGAGCTTCTTACTATCTGGATCTCAAAGTCCTCCCCCAGGGACGCCAACTTCAATTCTGGAACCAGCTTAATCAGAGGGGTAGCGGAGCCACGTGCCAATCCCGGGGTCTTTGTCTTTGATCTTCGGCGTAGGAGTGTCATGGAGTCTGCAGTGGTGACAGGGCCACACGGTCGCTAGACTCCAGGGGTCTGTGCCAACACGGCACAGCAGAGCTATTCCAGGTGCAGCTTCTTGCCACCGGAGGAGCTGGCTGACAGGGGCCCTTGCAGAGTCGTACTCGGTCAGCTGCCAGCATGACTCACGGGCTCCAGTGTGTGCGCGTGTGTGCGTGTATGTGTGTGTCTGAAAGGGGGAAGCACAAACGAATGCTTGTTCAACTGGACTACAAGAGTCGGGGCTCAGAGCTGCCTCCGCAGGGGACTGGGAGAAGAAGAAACAGCAAGACAGCCAACGGGCTATCTTGCCAGGAATAAGGAGAGTGGCGCCCGGAGGGAGACAGGAGACGGACAGAAACTTTAGTTGCTTCTTAGGTTCTCACAGATTTAGACTTTATTAGGAAAGGGGTTTCAAGTTCTCACAAGGCTCTCAGGACTGGAGCTATGGTTTAAAGCAGGCTTATTTCAACACGGGGAGTGAATGAGAACCAGGCCCTGCCCCATGCCAACGACCCTTTTGGCTTTCTGGTCACTGTAGTCCAGACCTGTTGACTTTTTAGGGCTGCTTCGTGAGGAGGCTGGCGGTCTACCCAGTTCACCCCGAAGCAGCTCCAAGCTAATGGTAAACAGACCATTCTCCTCCGCAGGCTCCTTTCTTCCTTCCCAAGAGACACTGAGTTCCCCCCAACCCCCCACCCCGGGGCTCTGCCTGCGTCCACACAGCTCTTTGACTCAGGCATTTTTCTAGTCTCCCCATCAATCCCTTGTAGTCCTAGATCCTGTTCCTTCAGAGCCTGGATCTCTCGGTCAGAACAGAAGGGATTAACTCACTTGGCTCTGGGGCATAGGGATTTTTGGGAGAGGACAGGGATACAGGTTCCAAACAATTGCAGAGTGAGATACACCCCCACCCCAATCACAAGCTGTAAGCAGCTTTAGACAAACAGGGGGCATCTCAGGGTCCCCATTTTCATGTGCTACTCTGTAGGAAAGCAGCATCCTCTTTTAATATAAAGTCATACCAACCAGACAAAACCTGCCAAAGCTACATCATTTAAAATATGTACAGTTCCAAACAGAATATTACAACGTTAAGGAAAATAAAAACATACTTTTCAATATGATACAAAGACATGCATCTCGAGGTCGTTTCTGGAAAAGAGCGACACAGGTGAAATTCAATCATGAAACCAAGCTCTTGGCAGTACAGTATCTGGAGTGAGATACTTGTGACACGGTCAGCCCAAGACAAACGGACTGGTCTTCACAGACTCACTCAACACAAATCAAACCCAGAAATGCTCTTCTAAAAGACCATTTTAAAAGGCTTAAAGCGTTGTGATTTCGCTTACATCCTGTACGGCACCCATCAGCAGACTATCAGTTCGTAATGGAAAAAAAGGAGATAGTGAACCGATGGAACAGGAGCGGGCGAAGTTCGATGCTGAAACAAAGAACCACAGAGAATCCTAAGACGAGAAGGAACACGATGAGGCCTGACCAATGACATGCTCACTAAACTGAGGGAAGATGACACTCTCTGGTGGGGGTGGCGCTGAGGGGTGTCCCAGGGAGAAACGGGGACTCTGGGATGGCCCAGAGCACGGAGCTCTGCCCGTGCAGGACCGAGGGCAGCTTCTCAGGCGGTGGGGTCAGAGCATCAGAGGAACCAGGGGGGAGGGGGGAAGGGCATAAAGAACTGGCCTCGTTCCATTGAAAGAGGGAACCACAGGCTCTTGGAAAGCAGTATGGAAAAAGTGGAAGAAGCCCGGATTACGGCTCCAGATAAATTGGGCTCAAGTTCAAGCTCTGTGGCGGGTGACTATGCTGACAGAGTTGCTGTGAGGGCTAACGAGAGAGCAGAGGCCAGCACCGAGCACGGTGCCTGGTCCACGGCAGCTACTCCACAAATACCAGTGCCATGTCCCACCCTGGGCTATGTCACTCGGGGAAGCGACAGCAGGTGGGATGGGTTACTGGTTAACTGCGCAGGTCACGAGTGTTCAGAACAATTCAAGGTCAGGGAAGATCAACTCAGGGTCAGGGAGAATGCAGAACTCCTAAACAGTAAGGCAAATATATATATATATTTATATATTTATATTTATATGTCTCAATATATAAAGGCATTTTTTATAAATAAAATACAATAAAAGGGATAACACTTAAAACAGCGTTACTAGTAATATAAATAAAGCAGTCCACAATGAGTTTGCCCTAAAGGTAAAAGTCATCTTCTCTACCGAGTGGACAAATCTCATATTCAAACTCAATCTTTAAAAGCAGTTTATGACCTAAGGCTCATGCTAATAATACCTCTGTTTCCTGAATCAAAATGGCTGCCTATGAACATCTACTCCCATTTTTCTCAAACTCCCTTTGTGACCGCATGGCTGTGAGTGGTCAGCAAACCCAGATAGGGCGTTTTCCTATCCTGTGCACTAGGGCTCCGTCCTTTGCTAATCACAGAAGGGATGCAGCTATATCCCTCCAAAGCCAATTGTATCTATACCACATAAAGCATGAATCCAGTATAGTGTAGGTATGGACATCTGGAATGCAGAACTTGATTCTAGAGCGTCCCTAATACCTGAGCCTGAAATTATATTCACTACATTCTACTTGAAGACATTCTTGCATAGTGACCCAGCTCAAACAGCGTATTTCGCTAACAGCTCTATTTATAAAATATATAGACATATGTAAGGGAATACTGATGCATTTACATAAACAGTTGATTAACATAGTATTCTAGTCTATTTCACTGCGATATTCGGGAAACTGTGAAGTTTTTTTCATTTATTCTGAAACTGTATGACTTTACAGAAAGAGAATCATTTTCTGGTTTTGTCCCCAAGGGATGCACAATCCAAAAACGAGCAGTGATCCATTAAAGCTGGACTCGAAAGCTATTAAAATAGCTATTAAATAGTAGTAGTGTTTTTTTGTGAGTTTTTTTTCCTTTTCCTTTTTTTTTTTTTTAGATGTGGAGAAGAAAAGCCTTCCAAAGGCAGCTGCAAATGTCCTTGTCACTCAGACGGAGCAGTAACTGTGATTTATGAGCTCTGCTAACCAAAGCTTCAGGGGCCTGTTTACAATGACGACATTCTGAAAAGAGTCAGGAGATTTCAAACCATACCCCTCTCCTTCCAAATTAAGTCTTTTCTGACATTCACGTCTTCCAAGTAGTGCCCAGGTTGGAAGCTGGAAAATAATAATTTTTGGGTGGCGCGACCCCAGGAGCACAATGTGGGTCTTTCTTTTCAAGTCGCCACTTTAAACTCTTATTTTGTTTCTACTCTCAGAAACAGTCAGAAAGAGTCCCACCATGATGATTTTCTAAACCAATCCACTTTTAAAGCAGTGGGACCTGAGGACATGCATTTTCCTCTCTGGCCCTTGATCCCCCTCTGCATAATGCAATAACCCCAGACCTTAACCTCGACCATGTTCATGACACCATTTGTGCCTAGTGTCTAGAAAACGGAATGTAATTTGTGCCCACGTGCAGAGAGTCAACAGGTCACCTATCACTTCTGTGGAAGGCGCTCCCCAAATTCACAAGAGACCTGCTATTAGAAACACTAGGTCACAACTGAGGGTGATTTCAAATGTTCTCAATAATAATAAATGCAATATCAAAAGACAGCTTTCCATCTGAAAACTTCAAACAGCCTGTTCAGTTCCCTCTCGGCCGTATCGGCCAATAGGCTGGATCCTTGCAGGAGGAGGGAGCTCTTCTGGTCACGGAGGTTCTCGAAAACATGGAATGATGCCACTGCTCTCAGATGATTGAAAACTACACAAAACTAGGTTGTTTCCTACTAAGGGACAGGGGATGGGAAGGGATGGGGAATTTTTAAGGCATAAATAATATAAAAGGGCACACATTTTAAGATACATTCATATGACATTACTACTACAAAAAATAAATAATGATTTTCTCTGATTTGAATGAATGTCCTTCACAGTCCATCCCTAGGCCTGTTTTGTGCAGGTACTGGCTTGAAGTGGGAGCATGACTAGTCATACGCACACCCTCAGCTTTCTTGGGGTTGCTGAGGGACCCCTGGAGGGCTGTCTAAAGGAATGCCAGGAGGAGACCATGCTGTCTTTTCAGTACAGTCCTTTGACACATGTGGCAAAATAAGAGGATTCCAACTTAAAACTGTGTTCTCTGTTTCTGAATGGACACAGCTGTCTCCTGAAAAACACAAGGGTTTGGGAGTGTTATGAAATCATAAAGCTGATTTTCACAAAACAGTCTAAAAATACTACTTTGAGCAATAAAGAGAGAATCATG